CTGAAACGTCAGCTTTCCTGCTCCTCTGATGCTGCTTGGCCTGCTGTGTTCATCTAGCTCTACACCTTGTTATTTCAGATTCTCCAGCATCGGCAGTTACTACTATCTCACGTTAACTCTGATTTTTTCGTCACAGATGCTGCCAGAACTGCTGCGCTTTTCCAGCAACTTTTGTTTTTGTTCCGGACTTAGAGCATCCGCAGTTCTTTCGGTTTTTATCCCCTATTTAGTGCTTGTCATAGGCATAGGTCGTTCCAAAGCACTTTGCAACCAATGAAGTTCTTTGTAGTTAGTCACTATTATAATAGAGGAGACATGATAGCCAATTTTACATGCGACAAACTCCGACACACAAGTATGTCATAACTACCAGATTATTTGTAATATTGGTGAAGAGATAAAGATCGCTCTAGATGTTGTGACAACTCTTCTGCTTTCTTCAAAAGGGTTCTGTGGAACCTTCTCATTCAAACAAAAAGATGGGAGCTCAGTTTAACGTCTGATTAAAAAGTATCTTAGAAAGAACAGCACTCTATAAGAACTTCGCTAAAGTGCTGGTGGCGGAATTTGTTGATTCAGTAGTAACTAACATGTCGACTTCTTAATGAATTCAATCTGCTTAGCTTTACTGCAAAGTTCATCAGCAACCTCTCATTGTCAGTAAACAGTGAGCCATGTGTTTTGGAGTAATGTAAATTTAGTTTTCCAATTGTAGTTGCTACTGTAAAAAAACTAATTTAAATATCTCTAGTTTATTTCCATTAATTTTCAAACTTTCTGTATTGCATACATCATCTTCAATCCACTGATCTAAGGTGTATTGTTTATGCAAAATTCTTTTGATAAAATCAAGAGTAATAGAGTCAAAGGTAATGGGGGTGCATAATCTTATAATCATATTGAATTGGGGAGCAGGTGCAAGGGACAGAATAGCCTTTTCTTGCACTGATCTCAAATTCATTTGTAGTAAACTTTACAGTACTAGATTTTACTTCTTGTATGTATCATATCGTACATAATGGTATACATTACATTTCCTCATAAGCTAACTTTTGCAAACTTAGTCTTCATATCATGGGTGACATTGTTACTTTAATCTTACACATTGTTTCCCATATATTTGAGGTGACACTGCAATTAGTCAACTTTTTAAATTCAAAAGAAAATCTCATTGAACCTTTTCTCACTAACTGAACACGCTGGTTCCTGTCTTATTGTTATAAAAAATGTTAAAAAAAATTTTTGGGCTTGCATCCTTCTCTGAAAAGCATGGCTTTAACCTACACCTATTCCTTCCCACTCATGTCTGCTTTTCTTCTTCTGGGCTTATAGGCTATACTTCATTCCTACCTTGGACTGGCCTCTCCTTAGGCCTGTGGCTTCCTACTGTTGTATTTCCTTCATCCCTTTGCTATATCCAGTCCATGCCACTTGACCTTTGCTGGTTGTGTGGCATTTATTTTGCAAATCATTTGGGAAAGTAAATTTTTAGCAAAAGCAAAAAAAGACCAGTTGACGTAACAGAAAAAATTAAGCATTTGAAGAAGCCAGCACTGCTGCCTCACAGCACCAGGGACCCAGGTTTGATTCCAGCCTAGGGTGACTGTCTGTGTGGATCTTGCACGTTTCTCCCCATGTCTGCGTGGATTTCCTCCAGGTGCTCCAATCTTCCAAAGATGTGCAGGTTAGGTAGATTGGCCACGTTTTAAAAAAAGGCCTGTGCAGAGTTACGGGATGGGGTGGTTGTGGGTGGGATGCTCTTCAGAGGGTCCATGCAGGCTTGACGGGCCGAATGGCCTCTGTCTGCACTAAAGGGATTCTTCGAAAATAAAGAAGGAATACAATGTCAGGGCTAGTGGATTGTAGAAAAGTACATTATTTAATGGAAGAGAAAGGAGATGCTGGGATAATTGAATGAGAAAAGATGCAATTAAATGTAAAATCTTTGAAATTAGACAGTTCCATTAAAATCATAGTTCTTTATTTCTTACGCTAGCGAAATGGACTTTTCTTGAAAGTAAATGTCAATTTTTTGAATGATAGGATTTGATCCGATTACTCAAATAGCCACCCCTGCAGCTCATCCTCATTGTAAAGACCATGTCTTTTTCATTTTTGTGCTTTTTAAAACTGTGGAAATGAGAAAGAATTGTTTGAAACCCCAGGGTTTACAAGGATGGCTGTATGTTTTCAAAGGAGATTTGCTCTCTATTGTGAACCCTAGTCGTGCAGCTGTGGGTCCCAACAATCTGCAGACAAACTGGAGCAGATGGATTGTTTACCAGTGACATTGATTCAAGGAAATTAAACAGTTAATTGAAAAGGACCAACATGCCATGTTACAAAAAGGCAGGAAAATGGCTAACTTGGACAGCCAGCATTGACATGATGAGTCAACAGCCACCTCCTGCACTGTAAAAATTCTGCATTTCCATGGTTTCAATAGAAATTGGTTAGTAAGTCTAAGACTAAGGGGTATCAGCAAAGAATTACAGCCAGACATTTTAGGAGAGAAATTAGGGAACACTATACACAAAAGGTAGTAGGAGTTAGGAACTTCCTTCTACAAACAGCAATTGATGTTAGGTCAATTGTTAATATTAAATCTGAGATTGAGAAGACTTTTGTAACCAAAAGTGCATAAGCAATATGGGCCAAAGGCAGGTACCTGTACAGAAAGAAGACTTCAGATCAGCAATGATTTAAATGAATGGCCTATTTCTGCTTCTAGGACAGTGGATGAGCAGGAGGTCCAGGTTGGTATCCAGATTAAAAGATTTTTAAAAATGTATTTTAATACACAAGCTTAGAATTTGTAAAAAAAAAACTTTAATTTTGCTGTAAAGCAAGCTGTTTTAAATGTGGATTGTTTTCAAAAGCTAATACAAGTTTAATAAATATATAATTGGCACAAATTAAGTTTCAAGATAATCTAATAAATATATCACACATTTCTTTCCACAAATACAATGAGGATGTTTCTGTGATTAAGCAAACTAGCACAGCTGGAAAGTTATATACTGCACACAAATATTATACACATATACATACAAATAAAATTCTCTCACCTTCTTAAAAAATTCAAAAACCATTTCTTGGTTTCAAAGAAATTTTCCAGCACAAAAGAAGAATCTTCTGATAATCTTAGAACATTTCCAAATGATGGTCTCTCTATGTGTCTGTGACAAGAATTTCTGTATTACAATTTCAATGCTTTCATGTAAATAGAATTAATCTGTCTATATTATTTACTTCATGTTGGCTGATATCACAATTAAAACAGTAATTCTTATAGATCCACGAACTCTGCCACAAAGGATAGACCCCTTATTCTCCTTATTGCTATTTGCTGTGAATACAAATTAGACTACTGACAGAAATCCAAATCTTGTCAACTGGTGGCAACCAAAGACAAAAACAAAAGTTGCTGGAAAAGCTCAGCAGGTCTGGCAGCATCTACAAAGAAAAAAAATCAGAGTTAACATTTCGGGTCCGGTGACCCTTCCTCAGAATGGTTCTGCTTGTAGGACAGTGGATGAGCAGGAGGTCCAGGTTAGTATCCAGATTAAAAGATCTTTTAAAAATGTATTTTAATACACGAATGGTTCTGAGGAAGGGTCACTGGACCTGAAAGGTTAACTCTGATTTTTCGTTCACAGATGCTGGCAGACCTGCTGAGCTTTTCCAGCAACTTCTGTTTTTGTTCCTGATTTACAGCATCCGCAGTTCTTTCAGTTTTTATTTGGTGAAAACCAAAGTTTGTTTAAACATCATCCACAGACCAAACTAAAACTTCATGTTGATCAAATTATCAGGAGCATACAGAATTTACCAGGAATACAAAAATTCACAAAGATGTTGACTAAATTAGAATTGGGTCAAAAGCTGGAACTCTCTTCATAACATCACACCACACAGGTGACAGCAGTCCAAAAAGGCTGCTCATCTCAGATTTCATGGACAATTAGAAACGGACAACGAACGCTGGCCCTGTCAATGATGCCCACAACCCATGAATAAATTTTAAAAAGTCTCATCAGTGGATGAAAGCTAATAGTGGCATAATTTTGAAATACATAGGCTGACAAGGAAGAAGAAAATTAATGGCACTGATACAAGAATGTGATGAGGTTTAAAAATGAACAAATGCACAGACAAAACGAGGAAGAGAAAG